GAATACAGTTACTCATATTTTGTATTTTAAATACGTAACGGCGGTACATGTATTCCGTTACTCCCCAACACTGTGTATAGTGAGTCTAAAATGTCAATTAAAAAAAGAAAAAGAAAAAACTCGTTGTCACCGTCTCCTGTCTGTTAAAGTGGAGTCTTTTCAAAATGTGCTTCATCAGTTACACTTTGCTAGTAGCAGGTTGGATCTCCTTTTGCCTTCAGAGCTGCTTCACTTCTTCGAGACACAAAGTCAACGAGGTGTCAGAAACATCTTCCACATATTTTGGTCCATATTGACACGACAGATGCTGCAGACACATCCACGATGTGAAACTCCAGCTCCACCACGTCCCAGGTCTGCTGACTGTTTCTACCAGATTCTGACCCGATCACCTCAATGTTGCAGCAGACATTTCAATTCAGTTTCATTCAATACAGCGCCACGTCACAACAGCTGCCTCAAGGTGTGCGACATAGTAAGACCCTACAACAATACAGAGAAAAGCCCAACAATCAGATGAGCAGCACTTTGGCGACAGTGGGAAGGAAAAACTCGCTTTTCAACAGGAAGAAACTCAAAACACTGTTTTTAAATCGGGATCAGGTCAGTTGTGTATTACCTGCTGCTTATTGCTTCATGTTCCTCCTTTTAACTTAGTTTGTGCCTTGCATCGTATCCTCTCTAGGCTGAGGTCTGAGCAGTTTTACAGTAGTTTAAAGACCCATCTGAGAGCGAGCACAGCAAATAAGCCTCGGCTATAAATGTGCTTCTATAAAGTGCTGCAGGAATAAAACTGAAATCCCTGAAATAAGTTTGCATTTTGCAGCATGCAGGCTCTGCGGGGCTGCGGTGACACTCAGACGGTAACATGTTTGAGAGGTCTCTGATACCAGCTGTCAGCTGACATTTTCATTCAGAGGTGATGCAAGAAACTATTGAAAGTACAAACGTGAAACTATTCACCATCTTTATAAAAACACTTCCCTGTATATGTAACTTAAGCTTCGAAACATTTGGAGCTGCAGCAAAAACAGATCTTTGCTTCAGTCTGCGAGGCAGCAACATCACAACAGCTTCACCTACAACCACTCACCTGTGCTATAGCTCCACCTACTGGACTTATTGGAGCAGACACATTAAAAATAAAACAATAAGAAATCATCCCAACCTTGACTGTGATGGCGATGGGCGTCAGGTAGAGCATTAGTTCTGCTTTTCTCTTCACGAGCGGACACGAGCGTGACGGGCGTCGCGTCATCTGCTGTTTTTAAATGTGCTGCACAAATAACTTTTGAATTGAAGTGAATGTTTGTCCATAAAGCACCACAGCAAAAACGCTGCATCAGTGTTTTGCTGGGATGTGTTTGCTCCTCTGGCGTTCCTGTTAGCAGTGAGTGCAACGATGTCACAGAGGATTTAGTGCAGCATAAACTCCAGCAGATGTTTGTCACTCTGGAGCACATTTCAGGAAAATGAAGCGCCTTGAGGCGACTTTTGTTGTGATTTGGCGCTATATAAATAAAATTGAATTGAATTGAATTGAATTAACAAGAAGTAAATGAAGGAAAGCGACAGAAGCAGACAGGATACGACGAGCGTCACATCTGAGACAATAACCAGGACCGTTTCTGACACCTCATCATTTTTATTGTGCAACAACACGGCAGCAGAGGACGATGTGATTTTGTCTTGGGAAGAAATCACTACTGGAAATCACAGGACTCAGATCCACACACGTCTGCTCTCCAGAACCAGGACGACGCGCTGAGATCACGGTGGGCGACAAATGTTCATCAGCAGAACGATGAGACAGAAACACAGAAGAGCCGTTTGGAAAGGCAGGAGGTGCAGTGCTAACAGGCTGCAAGAAATATGAATACTGACTCACGTCTGTCTCTATCAGTACTTATCATACAAAAGATACGACACACATGTGTGCAAAGAAGTGTCCAGGTTCATCCTGACCATCAACCTTTCTGACTGAAGGTCATTTCTGCCAGCAGGACTTCAGATATAAGCAGTGACGTGATATAAGACAATAACACTGTCAGTCATGGTCTGGCATTCCCAGATCACAAAGCTCAGCAGGACATAAACCGTGTGGAGTCATCAACATCATCAACAGAAGGCAGAAGAGCTTTGAATCAAGAAGTCTGGAGAAGTGTTCCTGCAGGTCCTCACAGAGACGCCAGAGAGCTGCTCAGAGAGTTCAGAGTGAGCTGAAGGATGAAGGTCAGACCGTAATATTCCTCCAAAACTGCCTTCATGGACCTGCAGCCGAGAAACCGATGCAAAGTGTTTATGCAGGTGAGAGAAGTTCACCTGAGGGCTCTTTCAGCGTGCATGCCGAGCGCTGAGAGACGGAGGTTGTGCTGCAGGCAGACGTTTGGACAGCGACTCAGACTTGTCTTCTAGACGTCGTCAAATATTTGTCTACGAGACGACGACAAGACAGGTACCGTCCTCCCGAGTGCACAAAAACACACAAGTGAACACAGCAGCACACGAATCCACACGTCTGTGGACACGTCAGTGCCTGCAGAAACGGCTGTGCTTCACTCCAACACTGAGCAAATGAACAAACTGACAGTTTGAAAAATGAAAGGATCTCTCTGCTGCTGAAAAGTGTGAAATAGCTAAATGCCTTGGACACGTAGTGAAAACCTGAGATATTTCATGAAAACTTCATCGTGATCACCGTAACGTTAGGAGATCTGTGGCCGAGTCAGAGCACACACGGGTTCGTGCAGATAAAGACACAACGAGGAAGGTTTCTGCAGGACAAATACATCCGATTAAGAGAGCAGCTGCTAAAAGACAAAGCAGCAAACACATATTTTAGAATTAGAATTAGAATTCAACTTTATTGTCATTGCACATGCACAGGT